TATTGTACATAGGATTACAGTGAGTTGGAACCAACTCAGTGGTGCCTAAGAACAACATGTACCCAAGAAAATTCATATAAGGAGTACTGAATAATAGGGCTTGAGCCTAATGTAAATTCAAATGCTGTTTCACAAATTTTTGTGTCCTGTTTTGTATCATTTCCACTGAATCTCATCAGTGATATTAGACTTTCTTAAAGTAAATTTCTTATTTCAAATTGTTTCTGATTTTTTTTTTCCCCAGATAATGGGTTCATACCGGATTCACTTCTAGAAGATGTGATGAAAGCGTTGGACCTTGTTTCTGATCCTGAATAGTAAGCTCTGTAGGAAGTGTTATTTCTCCGATTCAAAAAGATCCTGTTAAATTTAAAGCATTATCTACATTTTTACTTTGCCTTATCTAAGCCTGCATATCAAAAAGCTTAGCACTCTATATAAAACCAAAATTTAGGATGAAATCAGATTAAACTTTACATTATAGCAGAGATTCAACAGAATGAACTTACTTCCTGCATTATACTTACTGTCTTGGTTTTTTTTAGAAAGTGCTAATAATATAAGTCTTTTTGTATGAAGTTTAAATACATTTTTTTCTAATAAATCTTTTCCTTTATTTTTTCATTTTATGAATTTAGCAGGCTTGCCTTGGTAAAAGTCGTGACAGTTCTCTGTAATGTAGATATTGCTAGTGTTCTGCATAACTATACAGCAGGCCTCTGATTTTCAGTCTTAAATAAAGATGATCAAAGACATTTAACATTTCCAAAATGCTCTGAAACCTTTGTATGTGGCGCCAGTATGTTACAGAATATAGTTTTTCAGTAGTGCCTAGCATTGTTCAGTTGCCCTTGTTTTCATTCTCACGGTTAAGTTTTATACAAAGTCACACATACATCTTCTTCCATAACTTTCGGATCTGTATTTTCTATGAGAAAATAATTTGTAATCATTAAGAGGTGACATGTATTGATCAAGTATGGGTATAAAAATAAAGATAATCTATGATGATCTTTTCCTACACAATTTTTGTTTTGCACGTTTTTTATCTGACATTGAACAAGCAAACTTTAATATAGAAAACATTTAACAAAACAGCTGCTCTTTAAATGTAGAGGAGGAAGAAAGAAAAGCGTTTTTCTCTTCAAATTCTTAGATAGCTGTATGTTGTTGTTGTTAAGTGCCATAAAGTCGATTCTGTCTCACAGTGACCTTGTACAGCGTTTCTGAAAAGTAGCTAATGGGTGTGAACTGACAACCTTGTGGTTTGTAATCCAGTGCTTCCCCTACAGCATCTACCTAAGTTTCCTTATCTCACTAGACTCTACCTTGAATTAAAAAGGCAGTGCAATTGAATTAATCCACTTGATTTTCCTACAAGTAGCTAAAAGCTTAAACTGAATTATTATTCTCTCTGACTTTGTCGTGTTTATACATGTTATAGTCCATGAACTAACAGGGCCGTATTAATGATTAAATGTTTGAGGGTGTATCAAAAAGTTCATGGGAAAATTCCATGTATCTTTTAATTCTATTTTTTCATGAATTTTTGAAGACCCCTTGTATATTAGCTAAATTCAGTATACCATGACCTTGGCCTAACTCAGTCCTAATAGAATGTCATATCCTTTGCATGTTGAATAACAGGTTTATTAACTTGGCATTTTACAATTACGGGAATAAGTAGAGAACAAAATGTTTCTAAAAAGATTGCTTTCACTTGTAAACCTCTTCAGATTGCAGTTCACGTTAGTGTGCCTTCTCTCTAGTCACACAACTATGACTACCTATCACCAGCCTGGGTTGAACTAACAGTTATACAAAGCAGTATTCATTGTCAGGTTCTGCTAGATGAATATACCACTTAGCCTAACTCACTGTTCTTTTTCTCATAAAGAATTACTTCACCTCTTTAAACTTCAGGTTACATTACTTGAGAATTTGAAGCAATCACTTCATTTGATTCTTGAAAGTAATCTGATGTATCACTGTCTTTTGATGCTGTTTCTCTTTGGGATTGAAATGAATTTTTTTAAAGTAATTACCTCATTTGATAAATTCCGGCATACTTATTAAGCAGAGGGTTTGCCTTTGGAAGGTTATAAGCCTGAGTTTATAAGCCTTGTTTTTTTAATTGCTTTACCTAATAAGGAACAATATTCCAAAGTCAGCATCATAATTTAAATTTTAAATAGTAACAGATTACTGTGGTTTAAAAATAACCAAGTTTTGGCAAATTAGATGTCATTCCTATGTATTTGTCATTAAAGTTCTAAAAAGAACAGCTCTTAGGATCTTTGGCAGGCAAATGTGTTATAGTACCAGTAATTTAATCATGAAGAAAGAAAAATAAACTTTTTTTCCCCCCATTGGTATCCATTGTTTTTCTTCTCTTTTTTCTCCCCATAGTATAAACCTCATGAAGAATAAATTAGATCCAGAAGGATTAGGAATCATATTATTGGGTCCATTTCTTCAAGAGTTTTTTCCTGATCAGGTAACATAGTTCACGAACTGTATTCATTATTTTGTTTTATAGGGATGATCATCTGTGATTGTTTCAGCACTTTTTCCTACTCCTTTGAAATGTTGTACTGTACAGATATAAGACTGTGAAAACACTAGGATTATGTAAAGACCTTCCAGTACTGAGAAAATTGAATGTTGGTGGAGGGAGGGAGTCACCAGAAATTGGTGTAGTGTATGTATTGTTGTTGTTGTTGTTGAGTGCCATCGAGTCGGGTCCGACCCATAGCGACCCTGTATGTATAGATACAGATATATAGCTACTGTTTGTATAAAATGGTGAAATTCAGAAGTATGTTGAGTAAAAAGAAAGATTCGTTTCATCTATTCCAATCCTCCTCTCAGGTAACTCTTGTTCATAGATTGGTGTGTATCTTTCCAGAACTTTCTAAATACTGGAAGTGAAGGTAAAAGTCTGGGTGTAGTAGGAGCTCCTGCTAGTGAATCTAACTAAGTTCCGGGGGCATTTCAGTTGAATGAAAGCAGCATTTTTAATGGAGCTGAGCTGGTTACATATGGGGACATTTTAGGCTTTGATAGATGAGTTAATAGGATTCAGAGCACTACCCTTGATTTATGTGTATATCCTACATCTGCCTTGTCGTCTTATTTAATTGAAGAGTTTCACCACTAAACCACTTAACAACAACAACAATGTTTAATGGAAGCACGGTGGTTCCATGCAATAAGCACTGGACTGTAAACCATAAAGTTTGCAGTTTGAGTCCAGCATGTAAAAAAGGATGAGTCTTTCTGCTCCCAGGAAGTTTAAAACCTCGGAATCCCTATAAAAGCAGTGTAATTGAATTCATCAGATTGATTTTCCTATAAGTAGCTAAAAGGTTACACTGAATTATTCACTCTGTACTTTGACTTTGTCGTGTTTATATATGTTACAGTCCATGAACTAACAGGGCCATATTAATGATTAAATATTTGAGGGTATATCAAAAAATTCATGGGAAAATTACATATATCCTTTAATTCCATTTTTTTCACAAATTTTTGAAGACCCCATGTATATTAGCTAAATTCAATGTAACGTGACCTTGGCCTAATTAGTGGAACCTAAGTCAGAACTAAAGGAGCTCTGGTAGTGTAGTGGTTACAAATCGGGCTGCAAACCTCAAGGTCAGCAGTTCGAAACTACCAGCTGTTCTATGGGAGAAAGATGAGACTTCCTGCTCCTGTAAAGATATACAGCCTCGGAAACCCTGTACAAGGTCGCTGTGAATCGGAACCAACTCCAGGGCACATAACCAACCAACCCCGGCACTTAACAACTTCTGCTTTAGGTTAGTAGGAATTTCTAGAAGTTCATTTTTGAAATCTTGTCTTGTGTTATAAATGTTTAATAAATTGTTATTGTTACTAAGTTCTATCAAGTCGGTCCCAACTCAGTTACCCTGTATAGGGTTTCTGAGGAGCGACTAATAGATTTGAACCACTAACCTTGTGGTTAATAGTCCACTTTATCCTACAGCACCACACCAGGACTCAAAATTGAGCAGTTTAAAAGTTTTTTGAGGCAATAATATTTGTTTTGAATTATTAAATTTCTAAGTCTTGCTGTTCAAGCATTTGATATGGATTTCTTAGTTGTTAATACAAGGGGGTTTCAAAAAGATCGTGGAAAAATGAAATGAAACAATACGGAATTTTTCCACGACCTTTTTGAAGTCCCTTTTGTGACGAAAAAGTCCCTGGATGGTGCACATGACTTCTAAATGAAAGGTGGGCAGTTCAAGTCCACCTAGAGATAACATATTCCTGTTCATTTTTAATTTAATTTTAGAAAGCTTTTGAAAAGTACTTTGGAAATGAAAACAAACTGAAAGTTACTCTCAACTCTTTTGGAAGTACACATATCTTATATTTAATGAATTGCATAATGCTGTTTATAATAATTTCTTACCATTTGCCTATTTTCTGTTACTCTTCAGACAAACTTTCCATTCCAGCTTGGTTGGTCTCCTTGCTCTTGTACATATCATGTTCATTCCTAAACCAAAGCTTGTGATCCTGCAATTTGTTCCCTTTAGAGCAATGGGTTCTCGAAGTGTAGTCTCCAAAACTTGAAATGCAGGTTCCCCTCCCCAGACTTACTGAATCAGAAACTTTGGGATTGGGGCCCAGCAGTATTTTAGCAAGCCCTTCAGGTGATTGTGTTTGAGAACCACTGCTTTACAGAAAGACCTGTCACATTCCCACTCATTCACATCTTTTAAGAGCTCAGCCCCCCTGTGACATAGATCTTTTCTTCTCATGGCATAAACCACCTGAAAAAAATAGCATAGGGAGAGCGTCTGGGCATTCTCTGCCCCATTCCACCGGCACCCCATTCCACAATCAAGCCTCCTGCCCGAAGGCACTCAGCTTTACTTGCTTTCTGGACCCACAGCTCTGTTTCTTGCTCTGGCCCTTAATTCTACTGTTCCTGCTCCTCTGTGGTCACAACTCACTGCCTCCAAAATCGAGGAGGTTCAATATGCAGAGACCTCAGGGTCCAAAGGATGCACCCTACTTCTGGTTCTTCTTCCTTGATAATAGTGAGAGCCCCCTTCCTGCTTCTGAGATGGCTCATGTTGTATCCCAGGTAGAGTTCCAACTTTTTATCATAAAAATTAACCCTGTTAGCCAACATTCACAACTGAATTATCATCCTATCAGTATCTTCTGCCACCTTCTCTTACCCAGACCCATCAAGACAAAAAGTTGTTTGGTGGGAGTTACAAAGCTTATGGGTGGAAGAGCCACGTGATGTAGTTCAGGCACTGCATCACTGTGTCCTCTTTGTAGTCACAAAACACACAGTGCTAATCACTTATTTTGGTTGGTATTCATGAAATTATTTTGTACCTAACAGACCAACATAGCTGTAGTAAGCATTGTTTATTAAATCAAACCAGGAATAAATGAATTGCAAATTTTGAGTCAGAAGGATGGCCAGTAATCTTTACATATGCTAAAAGCAAGGGCTGATGAAGAGCATTTCTTTGCCATGACATAGTAGCTAATCCGGGTAGGGGGGAATGATCATAAGCACATCAAGGCAAAGTTGTTATAGTAATTGCAGCAGCATCTTATTTATGAAGCACTTACAAACAGTTGTACCAGGCATTATTTGACAATGAAGAAGCTGAGGATTCACGAATACAAGAAAATTGTTTAATGCCATACAGTTGTTCACTATTCCAGTGTAGGTCTGTCTACCTCCAGAGTGTAAACATTTTACCACTCTGTTACACTATCTTTTGTTGATGTTTCAGTGTTTTATGCCGGTTGTCAGTGACTGGGAATAGAGACTATAAATTGTACTAAATTACAGTAAAATGTTTATTTTTAAACATAAAAGTACATTAGCTCTGATAATCAAGAGCTGAATTACTTATGTAAGCATTCGATTGTTTTGACTTGTGTATAATGAAGGAAATTAACATTTTGTTGATTTTTTTTTTCTGCTTTCTGTAAAGCATTCTGAATATGACACAAACACACAAGAGCTTAAATTTTAGTTGGGACTACAAGAACATGAAGAGATTAAGAACAGTTAAGCAATCTTTAGAAATAATAAGATTATATAAAGTAGTATGACTTATTCCCAAATTAGTTATTCAGATAATTGTTACTATAAGGATTCCAAAAATAATAAAGACCCCAACTAGTATGATCAGGAAAAAGGTCATAGGAGAGGTAAGATTTGAATCAGTTCTTGAAAAATGAGAAATTAGCTGAGTAAGTGAAGAAAGGAGGGAGAGAAAAGAGAGTGATTATACAAAGGGACAACAAAAGACCTTTTCATGGGGAACTAAGTAGTAGGCTTGTCTCACACAGAGGCTCCAGAAGGTGAGTACTGAGATAGATTGAAGAATAAATTGGGTTCTGTATTATTTTAGGGCTCTTGATTGTAAACCACAAAAGCCTGGCCTGAGCTGCTTTAAGGGAGAGCTGGAATGGAGATATAAACTGGAAGGAGTGACTTGTAGGAATTGAAGGATGGAATAACCAAGCATGGAAGGAAGTCCACAGAGACTAGAACAGGGACCTTGACCACTGCCAGAAGTCTCTCCATCTTCCATCATTTGTCACTAGAGTAGTTTCATTCTCTCAGCCCATCTTTCTCTATGAAGCTGAGGTCACACTTGCCAGCAGCTCTTTTCCCTTACTTAGTTCCAACTACAAAAATGTCTATTTTTTTCTCAAGAGGGACTCTGACCCAGCTTGAGTCACAAGCTCATCCTTGCACTAGTCGGATATGGCCAAGAAGACAAGGCTGATAGGCATGAGGAGACTGAACTATAAATTATATTCTCCAAAGGAAATAATTGGGAGTCAGGCACCTTCAGTGAGAACAGACCAGCAGTGACTGTGAATACTAGGTTAAGGGAGGTGAACTTGACCTTATGCTAATTGAGAACCAAAGTAAACAGTAGGAGTAACATAAACTGTTTCTGAAATTTTCATCTGATAGTGATATATTATATGTTATTGAAATCTCTAAGCACTATAATTATGTGTTTTCATTTCTCACAATTCTCTTTTCACTAATTAAAAGCTGGCTATAGTCAAATGATATTTTTGGAATAGAAACCACAAATTTGATATTGTGAACCAGATTGAAAGTATTGATGCTTATGTTGTGTCTGGATAAAAGTGATATTACCACTTTTCCATATTTATTGGAAGGAGCATATTATTCACAACCAGAGAAAATGCAGAGATAAGGGAAGTACTTTTGTGTTTTACAATTTTGTCTTATTAAAAACTCATAGTAATCCCTGCATAAAGCTAAAGACATAAAACAACTAGCAGAGCAGAGTACATTATGATGGACACCTCTACTGGTTCCTAGTCTCATCTCCAGAAGCAAACTCTCGTGAGCATCCAACTTCTAGATTTTCTGGGTTTTAACTCCATACATTTCCAAGATCCTTGCTTTTTCAAATGATTCCTAGAAGGGTGAGGTTTTAAGACGTGCATTTTACTTTCAGTTGTTAATTAGAAATTGTCTAATTAGTCATTTATAAGGCCAAAATTTAAAGTTTTAATAGTTGTTTGTTTATACTAGGGCTCCAGTGGTCCAGAATCTTTTACTGTCTACCACTACAATGGATTGAAGCAGTCAAATTATAATGAAAAGGTATGACAATTCACAAGTAATTTGTTTCTAACTAGGTTGATTAAATAAATATATAAATGCATAGTAATGTTTCATGCCCATAAAATTGCTGTCCAAGGATATTGTTCCAAGAATCGCTTTACTATAGCAACAAATATTAAAACTGGTCGTGTTTCAGTCTGACCAATATGTGATACTCAATGAGATCTACTTTGGACTTAAACAGTAGTTTCACTAACATAACTACATCTACATGCATGTTGATAACCTTGATTATATGTTGTTGTTATTAAGTGCTGTCTAGTCAGTTCCAACTCATAGTGAATCTGTAAAGGGGTTCCGAGGAGTGGCTAGTGAGTTTGAACTTGGGCCTTGCAGTTCAAACCGACCTTGTGTTCCAGTGCTTACTTATCCTGCAGTGCCACACCAGACTGTTATTAATCAGTTATATATAGTTTTTTCAGTGAAAGCTGCTCCGTTTTCCTGGAGAAAGGGATAACTGAGATTTTTAAGAAAAGTATTTTTTAAGGATTTTATTAGTAACCATTAATCCACAAAAATCAAACCCACTGTCATCAAGTCAGTTATGACTCACAGCATCCCTATGCAGGGTCTCAAAGTAAGCATAAGTAGCAAACATTTATTGAGCGTTTGCCTAGAATGTACTAAGCATTTCACTTTATCATAAGTTTCACAGCTACCCTATGAGTAGCTATTGTGTGTATATCCTCATTTTTCAGAGGAGAAAACTAAAAGCAATGTGCCTACGGTCAAGCAGCCAGGAAATGGCAAAGCTGGGGTTGAAGCTGAGGCAGTCTGACTGCAGAGCCTGACCTCTTACCCATTGTGCTTTGCTGCTTTCCTTTGTGGAGTATCGACAAAGGCATGTGAGTGATTCGCTTCCAGGTGTACCCACTGGTTCAAGCCAAAAGTTTGGTCTCAATGATAAAGTTTTTTGATTAGATAGTAGATTAGTCCACACGTACAGTGTATTGTGTTTTCATTTATTAAAGTAGCCATCACAGCAAATACAGCTAATATTCTATAGGTTGGAATTTTATACTTCTATCAACTTCTAGAGTTTCATAGGTTAAGCACTCAGCTGCTAACCAAAAGATCAGCAGTTGGAACCCACCAGCTGCTCCATGGTAGACAGATGTGGCAGTCAGCTTCTATAAAGATGACAGCCTTGGAACCCTCTGGGGTAGTTCTTCTCCACCCTGATGTGGCAACGGGAGTTGGAATTGACTCAACAGCCTCAGGTTTCAGGTTAGAGTTGTTTTTGAAGGAATAAGGTCTCACATAACTATTTAGTTTGATATCTTTATATGAGTATTATTAAGTCTTTAAATTTGATAATGACTGCAGAAAATAATGTAGATGAGAGTCTTCTATATTAAATTAATGAAAATTAAATGCATTCATTGTTAGTTAGACATATCTACAACTGAAGTTAAAATATGCAAGGAGTTCAGAAAGTTCATGGGAAAAATAAATTCCACTTTTCCATAAATTTTTTGAAACCCCTTCACACTGTTTGTAACAAATTATAAATTAGAAAATGTATTAAATTAGGTCCAGAAATCTTTTTACAAGAAGGTAATAATATGTTCATATATAGCAAAAGAAGACACTTTTTTTGAAATCGTAGCTTTTGTATTAAATAGTAGCTTTGTCTACATATATAATGTAATATATTTATGTTTATAGAGTAACCATCACAGCATATACAGTGAATGTACTCATGATTCTAAGGAGTGCCTTGTCGAGGTTTTGAAGTTCTGCATAGCTGTAATAGGAAGTGCTTTATGGTCATGAATTAGTACTGGATTGACACAGCACCTGCAGCCTGGGTTCCAATGCAGCAACTGTGAGGGTTATGCAGACCAGATGGTGTTCTGTTCTGTGGTATGTGGGGCTGCTCTGAATCAGAGCTAACTCAACAGCACCTAACAACAACAACAATTAGTTACTCACAATCATTGTGAAGTAGGTCAGTCAAATATTGTCCATATTTTACAGATTAGGCGTCTGAGACAGGAGATTAAGGGACACACCCAGGATCACACAGCAAGTTTTTGACAGAACAGGGATTGGAACTTTGTTCATGATTCTCAGTCTTTTGCTTGGTCTGAGAATTTGCTAAGCATATTGACTGATGTTGATGGCTTTATTTTGTTCAACAGGTAATGTATGTAGAAGGGACTGCAGTTGTTATGGGTTTTGAAGATCCCATGCTACAGACAGATGACACTCCTATTAAACGCTGCCTCCAAACCAAATGGCCATACATCGAATTACTCTGGACCACAGATCGCTCACCTTCTTTAAACTGATTTGCCTATGTATTTTCATAATAGCAGATGTTGAACGAGGGACTCAAGACTGGCAAGTGGCTAAATCAAGCTGTACACTGGTATCACCGATTAACTGTAAATAACAATTAAAAATACTTTTTTCAGTATTTAAAATATGTTTAAATTATTTTAAAGATTTATGTTAAAGATTATCCTATCTTGACCCTTTATGTGAAATTTACTAGCAATTAAACATTAATCAAATTTCATTGCATTTGCAGTCAGATAATTTTTCATTTATTTAGTAAATTACAAACATCATAATTTAGCATTTGTATGTTGAATCAAAATTACTATTTATAAATTTCTATTTCTAGGTTTTATTTCAGTCAGACACATTCTATAATTTAAATGATTTTAACTTGCAATGTTTCAGCTTCAACTTTTACATTGCACAGAGGTCAGTTTTGCTATTTCTTTTGTAGTATATTTTCCGTTAGAAATATTAAATAAAAACTTACCAGCCTGGATCCTTTGGCAATTGGTTTAGCTCTGGCATGTTTCACAAAAAGTAGACACAAGGGGGGAACATTACCATTTACTCACAATATATAAGGGATACCTTTTAAAAATTAGTAGGAAAGAAAATCTGTTTGATAGTCTTAACACTGTTAACTTTCACTGTATTGCCAAATACACTTTTCCAAATTCCTCCCACCAGCCCTGTAAGCCAGCTTCCTTTTATATTTGTAAATGTGATCAATGCATGAGAATATCTGTTACTACATTAGTATATTGCATTATTTATTAAGACCCTAATTGATGACCTAAATAAACACTTTTCTTTTTCTTTAAATGTGCTCTAGCAATTTTTTTAATTGGTGGTCAAAACAGGGAAATTATTTTAAATGTTTCTCCCCAGCATCCCTGAGAGCATGGCAGAGAATAAATGCCCATTGAGGTCATACAAGCTCTCAGAATAGTAGCTCCAACCATATACTTCTCTAAGAGCTGGGGCTCATTCACTCAAGACAGCCAGACGCACTACAACCTAAGAGGCAGCTCTCTAGGCCAGTGGACCAGGATACAGAAATCTCGTCCTGTTTCTGGCAGACTGCTCTGAAAAAAAGCCCTAATCTCTACATGTGTTTCCAAAACACCCAATTGCCTTTCTTTGGTAGGAATACATCTCATATATCAGGTACATAGAAATTAATAAATAGTTTATAATGTATTCAAATAAAAACAGCAACCCATCCCTTTTTTTTTTTTTGCTTAAGGGACAGTAATTTTCTATGAGCAAAGTAGCAGTAGTATTTCTTTGCTTGAATACACTCCTGGAACTTGTGTCATGGATTAAAATGTGGCCCCCAAAATATAAGTCAACTTGGCTAGGCCATGGCTCCCACTATTGTGCGGTTGTCTTCCATTCTGTGATATGATGCAATTGTCAACTGTTTTGTTCTGTGATGTAAATCCTAAACTGTGCTGTTAATGAGGCAGGATTAGGGTGTAATGTGCCTTTAAATCGCCACCGGTATTCAAGTTACAGAGTCCTGGTGTGGCACTGTAGAAAAAGCACTGGCACCCTAACCATAAGGATGGAAGTTCATACCCACAAGCTACTCCTAGGAACCCTGTGCAGGATCACTATGAATTGGAACCATTTAAATGGCACGTAACAGCAACAACAAAAACAATTCAGGTCACCACCCTACTTATGTCCCAAGCCTTGCTTGAGCCAAATCTTTTATCTTACAAGAAGTAAAGGACTTCCCTACTACCAAGAAAAAAGAGCTGGGAGCAAAGCACGTGCTTTGGACCCAGGGTCCCTGCACAGAGAATCACCTACCAGGACTCATAGAGAACTCCCAGGAACCAGAAAACCAGAAAATCTGAAGAAATACAAGAGCCTTCTCCCACAGCAGACAGAGAAAGCCTTCCTCTAGAGCCAACACCCTGAGTTCTAAACTGAGGAAGTAAATTTCTGTTGATTTAAGTATCCATTTTTATAAAGCAGCCTCAAAAAGTTTGTGGAAAAGCTCTATTACGGTTCCATTCCATTTTCCACAAACTCTTGACGCTGTTTTATAACAGCTCTAAATAACTAAGATGTTGCTGTTAAGTACCATCAAGGCAGTTCCAACTCATAGCGATTTCCGAGGCGCAGCTAGCGAGTTTGAACCTCCAGCCTTGCGATTCAAACTGCCCTTGTGGTCCAGTGCCTATCCTGAAGTGCCACACCAAGGACTCCAGATAATTAAGCTACTTAGCTGTAATTTTTTTTTTTTTTTTCCAGGTAGGTTCCTAGAGAATCCTCTGATCCAAAAGAACTTATTAAACAAATCAGACAAAGGTCTTGAATATGCTTTTACGAAATTTTCCCCCATCCCTTCTTCAGGCTCCACTTGGGAAATGGCCCACGTAGGGATACTGAGGGGGTACAGCAGCAGGCTTAACTAACAAATCTGAGAGCACAGAAATGCTCGGTTGGCCCTTTCTGTTCTCACTGTGATACTGAGGGTTTGGGAGCTTACGCCCAACTCTTTGAGAGAAGGAAATATACTGCTTTTCACCACAACCGCTTAAAGTTTACACCTTTCTCCACCTTTTCCCACACACACCCTATTCTACTCTCTCTAGTCCCAGTTGACCAAAGCCTTGATATTAGCATGTGAACAAGCAAATCTCTCTCTCAGGAGTATGTGAACATACCATCCTATTTTGTACTACATAGTCTGTTCTTGCATTGTTCACCTAGAATGGCCTTTCTTCTCATATCCTTCCTGCCTATAGAACATTGTTGTTGTTGTTAAGTACCATGGAGTCTGTTCCGACTCATAGTGACCCTGCACAGGGTTTCCGAGGCTGTAAGTCTGTACGGAAGTAGAACGCCTCATCTTTTTCCTGCGGAACAGCTGGTAGTTTCAAACTGCCGACCTTGAGGTTAGCAGCCCGATTCATAACCACTGTGCTACCAGAGAACATCAGCTCAGCTTTTAAAACCCAGTTCAAGAACCCATCTCTCTATGACCCCTCTGTATAATCAACTCTTCACCCTGTATTAGTTTTTGTTACTATCATAACACAAATTTGTTACCATGTTGTTGTTGTTGTTGTTGTTAAGTGCTGTGGAGTCAGTTCTGACTCATAGCGACCCTGTGCAGGGTTTCCAAGGCTGTAAATCTTTACGGGAGCAGAAAGCCTCATCTTTCTCCTGTGGAACAGCTGGTAGTTTCGAACTGCTGACCTTGTGGCTCACAGCCTGATATCATAACCACTAAGCTACCAGAGCTTTGTTACCATGTTGTTGTTTGTTGTTAAGTGCAGTCGAGTTGATTCCAACCCATAGCAACCCTGTACAGGGTTTCCAAAGCTGTAAATCTTTATGGGAGCAGAAAGCCTCATCTTTCTCCCGCAGAGCAGCTGGTAGTTTTGAACCGAATTCCTTATTAATGGTGTTGTCAGGGCTGTGATTTTCCTTGACACGCAGAGAAATAATCTGTTCCCTTGTGTTTTCTAGCTTCTAGATTTTGTTTGGTTTGTTACATGCTGTCAAACTCGCTCAGACTCATAGCAACCCTGTGCATAGCAGAACGAAGCACTGCCTGGTTCCGTACCATGCTCACAGTTACGTTTGAGCCCATTATTTACAGCCACTGTGTCAAGCCATCTCATTGGGGGTCTTCCTCTTTTTTTGCTGACCATCTGTTTGACCAAGCATGATGTCCTTTACCAGGGACTGGTCCCTCCAGATAACGTGTCCAAAGTATGTGATAACATGTCCAAATGCTCACCATCCTCACTTCTAAGGGGTATTCTGGCTGTACTTATGAAACAGATTTTTGTTCTTTCAGCATTCCATGATACTTTCACTATTCTTTGACAATTACATCAATTCTTCTCTTGTCTTCCTTATTCATTGTCCAGCTTTCACATGCAGATGAGGTGATTGAAAAGACCGTGGCTTGTGTCTAAAGTCCTCAAAGTGACAGCTTTGTTTTTTAACACTTAGAAGACAGCTCTTGCAGCAGATGTGCCCAAAGCAGCAAATCATTTGATTTCTTTACTGCTACTTCCTTGAGTGTTCATTGTGGATGCAACTAAAATGAAATAATTGACAATTTAAAACTTTCCTCTGTTTATCATGATGTTGTTCATTGGTCCAGTTGTGAGCATTTTTGTTTGTTTTACATTGAGTTGTAATCTGTACTGAAGGCTGTATTCTTCATCAGTAAGTGTTTCAAGTTCTCTTCACTTTCAGTAAGCAAGGTTGTAAGCTTGTATCATCTGCATATCATAGGCTGTTAATGAGCCTTCCTTCTGACAATTCTGATGCCATGTTCTTCATATAGTCCCATTTCCCAGATTATGTGCTCAGCATTCAGATTGAATAAGTATGTTGGAAGCGTACAACTCTGACACATTTTTCCTGAGTTTAAACCGTACAATATTCCTTTGTTCTGCTTGAACAACTGCCTCTTCATCTATATACAGGTGCTCCACATGATCGCAATTAAGTATTGTGGCATTTCCATTCTTTGCAATGTTATTCATAGTTTTTTATGATCCTTTGTATAGTCAATAAAACACAAGTAAACATCTTTCTAGTATTCCCTGCTTTCTTTCAGCCCAAATCCTTTGTTAGTTGCTGTCCAGTTGACTCCAACTCCTGGCAACATCATGGACAACAGAACCAAACACTGCCTAGTCCTGGGCCATTTTCATCGCCATCAATATGTTTCAGCCCATTGTCCACCTCACTGAGGATCTCTCTCATTTTAGCTGACCGTTTACCAACCATGAGATCCTTTTCTAGTGATAGATCTGTACTAATGAAATGTACAAAATACCTAAGGTGAAGTATTTTGAAGTCTCACTGTCCCTGCTGCTAAGGAACATTCTAGTTGTATTTCTTCTAATACTGATTTAGTCATGCTTTTGGCAATCCACAGTAAATTCCATATTGTTCACCAACACCACAATTCAAAGGCATCGATTAATTCTTGTCTTCCTTTTCCATTATTTAGTTTTTGCATGAAGGTGACACAGATGAAAAGATCATGTAACCTGGATCAGTGTGCATCTTAGCCGTCAAAGTGACATCTTTGCTGGAATCGTAACGTGATATGATTGACAGATGTAAAATACTACACTGAACAATTATATGGATGCATTTTCTTTCCACATTCATGTGTAACATTTGCCAAAACAGACTTATGTGTTGAGGCATAAAATGGGACTAGAAAATCCCTAGATGTTTGGAAATTAAACAACACATTTAAGAATAATCCAGGGGTCAAAGAGCAAATTGCAGTGGAAATCATAGCATCTTTTTACTGAGTGGGAATGAAAATATGACATACCAAAAACTGGATGTAACTGAAGTAGTGCACAGAGGATATTAATAGCTTTAACTAAATATATTAGAAAAGTTAAATGTTTGGGAATTAGAGATTTAAGCTTTTTTCTCAAAAACAACAGACACAAAGTAAATAAAATAAATAGAAACAACATTCACATGCAAAAGAATAAATTTGGACCCCTATCTCATGTCATATACAAAAATTAACTCAAAATCATCCTAATTACTTATAAGATCTAAAACTAGCAGAAAATAGAGGTAAGTCTTTATGACCTTGAGTTAGTACCTACATGGTTTCTTAGGTCACCAAAATTTCACATAACAAAAAAAAATTTTTTTAATTAATTGAATTAAAATTTTAAAACATCTTGTGCCAAAGGACACCAAGAATGTGAAGTGACAACTCCACAGAAGGGAACAAAATATTTGCAAATCTTTTATATTTTATGTATATATACAAGGAACTTGTATCACACCTACTGATCCAACCT